ACAAGCTTGCTCCCTCCTCCCTGTGCCTTCCTCTCACATATTTATACATGGCTATCATATCTCCTCTCAGCCTTCTCTTCTTCAGGCTAAACATGCCCAGCTCCTTAAGCCGCTCCTCATAGGGCTTGTTCTCCAAACCCTTGATCATTTTAGTCACCCTCCTCTGGACACATTCCAGCTTGTCAACATCTCTCTTGAATTGTGGTGCCCAGAATTGGACACAATATTCCAGGTGTGGTCTAACCAAGGCAGAATAGAGGGGTAGCATGACTTCCCTAGATCTAGACACTATGCTCCTTTTGATGCAGGCCAAAATCCCATTGGCTTTTTTTGCCGCCAAATCACATTGCTGGCTCATGTTTAACTTGTTGTCTACAAGGACTCCAAGATCTTTTTCACACGTACTGCTCTCGAGCCAGGCATCGTTCCCCATTCTGTATCTTTCCATTTCGTTTTTCCTGCCAAAGTGGAGTCTCTTGCATTTGTCACTGTTGAACTTCATTTTGTTAGTTTTGGCGATTCATCTCTCTAATCTGTCAAGATCGTTTTGAATCCTGCTCCTGTCCTCTGGAGTATTGGTTATCCCTCCCATTTTGGTGTCGTCTGCAAACTTGATACACTACCAGTATATCTATCATAGCATCACATTATATTGTACTAAATCATGTTGTCAAGGTCATTTACCCCTCCCTCACTCAGGGTCAAGCTAAATTTGAAACGACTTGAAAGCACACAACAACAACAACAATCCTATCTCATCAGCAAAAAGTAGATCTTATATTTATTAAAATTGTAACTAAGTTTATATTTGCTAAAATTGTTTTTTATTTTAATTATTGAATTCTTTGGGGAGATGGTTGGTTGGGTATATAAATAACATTGTTGTTATTGTTGTTGTTGTTATTATTATTATTATCTAGAGCAGGGGTTCCAAAACTAAGGCCCAGGGGCCAGGATAAGGCCCTCCAACGTCATTTACCCGGCCCTCACTCAGGGTCAACAATCCTATCTCATCAGCCAAAAGCACGCCCACACTTCCTATTGAAATACTAATAAATTTATATTTGTTAAAATTGTTCTTAATTTTAATTATTGTATTGTTTATAAGTGGTTTTTGCATGATAAATAAGATATGCGCAGTGCGCATAGGAATTCATTCATTATTTTTTTTCAAATTATAATCCGGCCCTCCAACAGTTTGAAGGACTGTGACCTGGCTCTCTGTTTAAAAAGCTTGAGGACCCCTGATGTATACACTCCACTTGCTCATAATCTCCAACGGGAGAGAGTTCCAGAGCCGAGGGGCTACCACGAGAAGGCGCTGTCCCTCGTCCCCACCAGACGCGATTGCGAAGGTGGTGGGACCGAGAGCAGGGCCCCTCCAGAAGATCTTAACAACCTTGATGGTTCATAGGGGAGAATCCGTTTGAACAGGTAAACTGGGCCGGAGTCGTTTAGGACTTTATAGGTCAACACCAGCACTTTGAATTGTGCTCGGAAGCTAATTGGCAGCCAGTGGAGCTGACGCAGCAGAGGAGTAGTATGGTCCCTATACCCCGCTCCTGTTAGTAATCTGGCTGCCGCTCGTTGGACTAGTTGGACTTCCGGGCAGTCTTCAGAGGCAACCACATGTAGAGAGCGTTGTAGTAGTCTATACGGGATGTAACCAGAGCATGGACCACCGTGGCCAAGTCAGACTTCCCAAGGTACGGGTGCAGCTGGGGCACAAGTTTTAATTGTGCAAAAGCTCCCCTGACCACCGCCGAGACCTGGGGTTCCAGGTAGATATAAAAAGTGGACAAAGTCACTCTGATCCGTTCCGACTTGGACACCATGTTAGCGGCAGTCTCAGAGGCGACATGAGCACCTGCTTATCCGGTTTTGATGGATTCCTTTAAATTGGTGCATTTCAAGGGAGTGGACAAGACCCTTGGAGAGGCGAGGGCGGCCACATGCACCTAGACCCCTGCCCATCCTGGCTGGTCAAGGCGGCCAGAGGGGGTTTGGCCGAGGGGGTCAAGGTGGTGGTTAATGCCGCCTTTCAGGAGGGCAAGATGCCGGCCAGCCTGAAAGAAGCTGTCATAAAACCACTGTTGAAGAAACCATCACCCAATAGAACAACTTTCGGCCTGTTTCCAATCTCCCCTTTCTGGGCAAAGTCCTAGAACATGTGGTGGCCTCACAACTCCAGATGTTCTGAGAAGACACAGATTATCTGGATCTGGCACAGTCTGGTTTGAGGCCGGGACATGGAACCGAGACAGCCTTGGTCACCTTAGTGGATGATCTTCGCCGGGAAGTGGACAAGGGGAGTGTGTCCCTGTTGGTTCTGCTGGACCTCTCAGTGGCTTTTGATACCATCAACCACGGTATCCTTCTGGGACGCCTCGCCGGAATGGGCCTGGAGGGCACTGTTTTACAGTGGTTCTGATCCTTTCTGGATGGTTGCACCCAGAAGGTGTTGTTGGGAGACACCTGTTCAGCCCCACAACCTTTGTCTTGTGGGGTTCCTCAGGGCTCAATACTATCCCCCATGTTGTTTAACATCTACATGAAGCCATTGGGGGAGATCATGCGGAGTTTCGGGGTGCGGTGTCATCTGTAGGCAGATGACGTCCAACTCTGTCACTCCTTCCCACCTTCTACTAAGGAAGCTGTGTAGGTCCTGAACCAGTGCTTGGCCGCTGTGACGGTCTGGATGAGGGTGAACAAATTGAAATTGAATCCACACAAGACAGAGATCCTCCTGGTCAGTTGCAAGGCCGAACAGTGCATAGGGTTACAGCCTGTGCTGGACGGAATTACACTCCCCCTGAAGACGCAGATTTGCAACCTGGGTGTGATCCTGGATTAATCTCTGAGCCTAGAAACCCAGGTTTCAGAGGTGGCCAGGGGAGCTTTTGCACAACTAAAACTTGTGTGCCAATTGTGCCCGTACCTTGGGAAGTCTGACTTGGCCATGGTAGTCCATGCTCTGGTTGCATCCCGTATAGACTACTGCAACACTCTCTATATAAGGTTGCCTTTGAAGACTGTTCGGAAGCTCCAAATGGTGCAACAGGCGGCAACCAGGTTGCTCACTGGAGTGGCGTACAAGGAACATATACAACTCCCCTGCTAGGTCAGCGCCACTGGCTGCCCGTCTGCTTCCAAGCACAATTCAAAGTGCTGGCTTTGGCCTATAAGGCCCTAAATGGTTTTGGCCCAGTTTACCTGTCCAAACGTATCTCTCTCTCTATGGTCCGCTTCAGAGGCTGAGATCGTCAGGGGAAGCCCTGCTCTCGGTCTCGCAAGCACGGCTGGTGGGGACAAGAGACAGGGCCCTCTTAGTGGTGGCCCCTCGCCTATGGAACTCCCTCCCCAGTGACATTAGCTCTGCCCCCTCCCTCCTGACCTTCAGGGGAAAAAAACCTGAAAACATGACTGTTTGCCCAGTCGTGCAATTTTACAAACTCATATAACGATGACTCGGACCGGCCCTGGAATACCATTTGGATCATGTGATTTTAATTTATCTTTTCGTGCTATGTTTTCAATGGGTTTAGATTTAACATTTTTGTTTATTTACCAATGTGTTAATAACATGGCATGGAATTGTTGCCTTTGTAAGGCGGCCCCGAGTCCCCTTGAGAAAGGGGGGGGGGATATAAATACAGTAAATAAATAAACGAAAACCCCCAAATCCAAGTATTTGCTTTGCAAAGCATCCCAATGAGGGGGGGGGGGGCTCCCAGGGCGGGGCCGAAATGGCCGAGTGTTGGGCTGGAAAAGTGTTGCGAGGCAAACGTGCTGGCATCGCTTTCGTGTGGCCTCTTTTCCTAGATGTTAAAAACGGTGAGAAATAACCGAGACAAGGGCCGCGTGAACCACAGCGCCGCCCTCTTTGGATTTGGAGACGGCGGTGGTGGCCCAACGCAGGACATGCTGGACCGGCTGCAAAGGATGAAGGATGTGGACGGCTTGCCCAGGTTGGTCCCACTGTTTTTAATTGTGTGCTGTCTTATTGATAATGTTGTGTATTTTATTGTTTATGTTTTTAATTGCTTGTATTGTTGTTATTACTTGTATTGTTGTGTTTGGGCTCGGCCTCATGTAAGCCGCACCGAGTCCTTTGGGGAGATGGTAGCGGGGTACAAATAAAGTATTATTATTATTATTATTATTATTATTATTATTACGTCCTCCACACAAGCATTACTCCTTTTGAAACAGCTTAGGTCCGGGCTATGGAATCGTAGAGTTGGATGAGACCCCAAGGACCATCCAAGCAACCCCATTTTGCCACACTCAGAGCCCTCCCGACAGATGGCCATCCAGCCTCTGTTGAAATTCTCCAAAGAAGGAGGCTCCACCACAGTCCGAAAGACCGTTATCTTCCTATCCCTAAGTTTTAAGGTCCGCTGGAGAAAGCGGAAGAGGTTTCCTGCTCACAAAAAAATCACAATTTCTTGCACACAGAAAAATTCAGGACATTTGAATATCAGGAGATATTCCTGATGTTCCAGCATTATTTTCAATTTTAATTTTACATTTGGCCTTCCCACAGTTTTAATTGTGTGTTGTCTTAGTATTAATGTTTCATTATTTTCAATTTTAATTTTACATTTGGCCTTCCCACAGTTTTAATTGTGTGTTGTCTTAGTATTAATGTTTCATTATTTTATTCTCCACGATTTATTTTTAATTGCTTGTATTGTTGTTATTATTGCTTGTATTGTTGTATTTGTTGTTGTATTTGGGTTCATGTAAGCCGCACCGAGTCCCTTGGGGAGATGGTAGCGGGGTACAAATAAAGTGTTGCTATTATTATTATTATTATTATTATTATTATTATTATTATTATACTACAGTGAGATTAGACTACTTTAGTTTATGATCCTGGCACAACATATATTTTATATTTTAGTTTATGGTCCAGGCACAACATATATAAGTATCCAAATATCCTATTTTTTTTATTGGTCACAGAAGTGTGGGGAGGGGGGGAGCAGGCTGCGTGTTACCTGCGAACCCACTCGATTCCTGTCGTCCTTCTCGTTGCTTTTCCCCAAACGGCGTCTTTCTGCCTTGCAGGGTGCAGATGTCGTCCCCGGACCGGCTGTTCTCTTCTCTGGAGAAGGAGAAAGCCCATCTCTGCACCTGGGTGGGAGAATTGTTCTTGGAGCTCCATAACGGCACATATACCACCCACGGGCAGGTGAGTCAAGGTCAAGCTTTCCCCTTGACATTCAGTCCAGTCGTGCCTGACTCTGGGGCTCATCTCCATTTCTAAGCGGAAGAGTCAGCGTTGTCCATAGACACTTCCAAGGTCATGTGGCCACTGGCAGGACTGCATGGAGTGCCGTTCCATTCCTGCAGAAGTGATGCCTATTTTTTTATTAATATTTATTAAGGTTTTTCTGAAATACACTTAAAAGAGGGGGAACATATCAGGTGTATAGGAAAGTAGGAGTAGGTAATGGGGGAAGGTGGGTAGATAGGGGGGTGGAGGGTAGAGACGTTGAGGGTAGAGTTACAATTTGTTTAACATTTACATGAAGCCGCTGGGGCACAACTGTGGTAAAATAGGAACATATGCCCACATGTGGTGGGAATGTGAAAAAATCCAAAAGTTCCAAGAAATAATCAGGAAGGAAATGGAGGAACTATTAGGGATCAAGATAGAATGGAATAAGGCCCAATTTTTCACTCAGAAATTCAAAAGTAAAGGGGAATCTAAGGAAAGTGAGGAAATAATAAAACATATGATAGAGGGAATTAAAGCCTCAGTGGCCCTGGGCTGGAAAGACCACAAGATACAAAAACCTGGTATAAATATTTAGCAGATTACCTTCTTCAAGATTATATTAGCGAAGGGAAAAGTTACTATATGACGGGTCAAAGCAAAAGGACATGGAAAGCAAAATGGAAGGGTCTCATATATAGAATAAAGGGGAAAGATAAATATACGGTGTTGAACAAAACTATTTTCATGATTGAACAATTGTAATAAACACAGCTAAAGTACTTATTTGTTTCCGAGGGGGGGGGGGATTGTGGTGGTGGCGGGATTGGGGAAAATACTGGTATTTTGAATGTTGCTTTCAAAGATGGTATGTTTCTATGTATTATACAATAATTAAAAAAACCCGATTACATAGATAGGAAAAAAAAAATGAATCCGCTGGGGGAGATCATCCAGAGTTGTGGGGTCAGAGTGACGTTCCTTGTAAAGGCTGTTATCTTATTATTGTCAATGCCTGACTTTCTAATTTTTGGTAATAACTTGTCCACTATGCTTATTTTTTAAAAAAATTCAGATCAAGAAGGGGAACCGGGAGTGTGAGCGCCTGCTCCGTGACGTGGAGGTTCTGGGCAGCCTTGCCCTCTCGAGGAAGAGTTCCTTCCGGTACCCTTCGGCAAAGCTTCAGCATCTCTGGAGGTACCGCTTTGGATTTCTCCCACCTTGAGTTGCAGTGTGTCAAAGTGTTGTGTGGGGGGATAAGACTGAAAGGCGAGCGTGCTTAGGGCATTGTGGACCAAACAGGAGGGACAGAGTGTCATGGGGTATTATTCATGGCCATCTAAAGTACGTACTTGCATTCAACCTTCATGAACCAAATGCAGTAGGATCCCCTGATGATCTAGGCGGGATGCGTTCCTGGGCTTAGGGGGGAAAAACAAAACCCTGGCTAACAGCAAACCCAATTGGAGTGAGCAACTTCCAGCAGAAGGTCTTGGGGAGATGGTGGTGGGGTATAAATAAAGTATTATTATTTATTTATTTATTTATTTATTTACTTTGCTTATATACCGCTGTATCTCAAGCCCGAAGGCGACTCACAGCGGTTCACAAACAGTAAAAACAGTAGAAACAGCAGTGGTTCCATACAACATATAACAATTGACTTAACACATTATCCATAAATTACCAATAAGCAATTACAATGCACAATTATTATGAAAAACAACCGTACCCAATCTTCTCATCATCCAAGCGTAGTCCAGGTTCGTCGTCCATTGTTCCATTCCTATGTTCCATTACCAGATTGCACTAAATTACTCAAACGCCTGCACAAACATCCAGGTCTTCACCTTTTTGCGGAATACCATTAGAGATGGTGCTAGTCTAATGTCCGTAGGAAGGGCGTTCCACAGCCGAGGAGCCACCACCGAGAAGGCCCTATCTCTCATCCCCGCCAGCCGAGCTTGAGAAGCAGGTGGGATCGAGAGCAGGGTCTCCCCGGAAGATCTCAAAGTCCTGGTGGGTTCATAGGCAGAGATGCGGTCAGGTAGGTAACTTGGGCCGGAACCGTTTAGGGCTTTATAGGCCAATGCCAGCACTTTGAATTGTGCCCGGTAGCAAATTGGTAGCCAGTGGAGCTGGCGCGACAGGGGGGTTGTATGCTCCCTGCGTGCTGCTCCTGTTAGAATCATGGCTGCCGAACGTTAGACCAATTGAAGCTTCCGAGCCGTCTTCAAAGGCAACCCCACATAGAGAGCGTTGCAGTAGTCTAAACGGGATGTAACCAGAGCGTGGACTACCGTGGCCAAGTCAGACTTCCCAAGGTACGGGCGCAGCTGGCGCACAAGCTTTAGCTGTGCAAATGCTCCCCTGGTCACCGCCGAAACCTGGGGTTCCAGGCTCAGCGATGAGTCCAGGGTCACACCCAAGCTGCGAACCTGCGTCTTCAGGGGGAGTGCGGCCCCATCCAACACAGGCTGTAACCCTATGCCCTGTTCGGCCTTGCGACTGACCAGGAGTACCTCTGTCTTGTCTGGATTCAATTTCAATTTGTTCGCCCTCATCCAGACTGTCACAGCGGCCAAGCACCGGTTCAGGACCTGGACAGCCTCCTTAGTAGCAGGTGGAAAGGAGTGACAGAGTTGGACATCATCCGCGTACAGATGACACCGTACCCCGAAACTCCGGATGATCTCCCCCAGCGGCTTCATGTAGATGTTAAACAACATGGGAGACAATATTGAGCCCTGAGGAACCCCACAAGACAATGGTTGTGGGGTTGAACAGGTGTCTCCCAATAACACCTTCTGAGATCGACCCTCCAGGAATGACCGGAGCCACTGCAAAACAGTACCTCCAAGACCCATCCCTGCGAGGCGTCCCAGAAGGATACCATGGTCGACAGTATCGAAGGCCGCTGAGAGGTCCAGCAGCACCAACAGGGACACACTCCCTCTGTCGAGCTCCCAGCGCAGATCATCCACTAAGGCGACCAAGGCTGTCTCGGTACCATGTCCCGGCCTAAAGCCAGACTGTGCCGGATCTAGATAATCCGTGTCTACCAAGAATACCTGGAGTTGTGAGGCCACCACACGTTCCAGGACTTTGCCCAAAAAGGGAGATTGGAAACAGGCCAATAGTTGACGAATTGAGTGGGGTCCAGTGATGGGTTTTTCAACAGCGGTTTTATTACAGCTTGTTTTAAGCTCGCTGGAATTTTGCCTTCCTGAAGGGAGGATTAACCATCACCTTGACCCACTCTGCCAACCCCCTCTGGCTTCCTTTGAAGCCAGGATGGGCAGGGGTCCGGGATGCATGTGGTTGGCCTTCCTTCAAGTATCTTGTCCACATCCTCGGGTTTCACCAATTGAAATGAATCCAAAACTGGACAAGCAGGTGCTCGTGTTACATCCTCAGAGACTGCCATTAACATGGTATCCAGACAAGAACGGATCAAAGCGACTTTGTCTGCAAAGAACTGAGCAAAAGCTTCACAGCGAGAAGTCGAATCGTCAGGGTTCCCACCTTGAGTGGTGGGATTTAAAAGGCCTCTGACAATTCGGAACAGCTCAGCCGGACGGTTCTTTGCAGACGCAATAGTGGCCGCAAAGAAGGCCTTCTTTGCGGCTTTTATTGCCGCGGCATATGCCCTTAAAAAGGACACAAACCGTGTTCGATTTGGCTCACTCGGATCCGAACGCCACACACTCTCTAGTTCCCTCTTCCTTCGCTTCATCGCTGCCAGCTCCTCGGTGAACCAGGGAGCTGGTTTAGCTCGGCTACTTGAGAGGGGACGTTCTGGAGCGATCGTGTCAATTGCCCTAGTCATCTCCCCATTCCAGAGAGTGACCAGGGCCTCGACAGGATCACCTACCGAGGCGGCGGGAAACTCCCCAAGAGCCATCAGGAATCCATCCGGATCCATAAGCCTCCTGGGGCGGACCAACTTAATGGGTCCTCCACCTCTGCAGAGGTTAGGGGGCGCAGTGAGCCTAAAATCTGACCAGGAAGTGGTCGGTCCATGGCAACGGAGAGATGGTCAGCTCCTCGACCCCACCACCTTCCTCCCATCCCTGGCAGAAAACCAAGTCCAATGTATGTCCTGCACTATGAGTGGGGCCAGATACTTGCTGGGACAGCCCCATGGTTGCCATGGCAGACATGAAGTCCTGAGCTGCTCCTGAAAGGGCCGCTTCGGCATGGACATTGAAGTCCCCCAGCACAAGGAGCCAATGGGATTCCAATGCCAGGCCTGAGACCACCCCCGCTAGCTCAGGTATTATTATTATTATTATTATTATTATTATTATTATTATTAAACCCAAGACATCAATGGGGATTAAGAGCCAGTTGACCATTGATTCGAGTCGAGACTCACTCCTGCACAAAATCACGTCAAAGGTTGGGTGAAGCTACCTTCAGATTACACGCATAAGGTGCTGATAAAACATAAGTGAATTTCATGTCTAGATAGATCCCGTCTACAAGATATCTTTTTATGTTGGTATTTATTTATTTATTTAGAGCTATTTATTTATTTAGAGCTTTTATAACCCGGTCTTCTCGATCTTCCGAAGAGGGACTCAGGCCGGCAAACAGCAGAAAATTCATACACACATAGAATAAACATAACATCATCATAATACATTAAAATACAGATCATGCAATTACAAAAGCCAGGTCGTCAGAGTAAAATCACAAATTCATCACCATCCGCCAGAGTGGTCAGCCGTTATTGACTCAATCATCATTCTGAGAATGCTATGTTCCAAAGCCAAGATTTTACCAGCTTTCTGAGTCAGGAGGGAAAGGGCAGATCTAATCTCCAACGGGAGAGAGTTCCAGAGCCGAGGGGCTACCACGAGAAGGCGCTGTCCCTCGTCCCCACCAGAGGCGATTGCAAAGGTGGTGGGACTGAGAGCAGGGCCCCTCCAGAAGATCTTTTTTTTTAATATAATTTTTATTAGGGTATTTCAAATACAACGAAAGAGGGGGAACATTGAAAGAAGACAGAACAGTTGGAAAGTTATAGAAAAAAAAATAGGAAGAGAGAAAAAAAAATTGAAAAAATTGAAAAAACACACATAAAAATCTATATAAAAAAAAATTAAAAAAAGAAGAAGCAAAAAAAAAGAAAAAAAAAGTTTGACTTCCATCTCCTCATCAGGTGTTGTGTTTTCCAAAAATATTACTGTTGCTTTCCATACAATGTCTCGTATTTACTTTTTTCTTTCCTTCTCATAATTTTCAAAAGGTGTCCAGTCAGTCTTCTTTATCGGGTTTCCGGTATTTTTTTTCAATAAAAAAGTCAATTCATCCATCTCCCTTATTTCTCTTATTTTCCCTAACCAATCCTCCCTATTAGGTATACTTTCCTGTTTCCAAACCTTTGCTAAAACTATTCTCGCTGCCGTCGTCATATAGGTAAAAAGTTTGTCCTCATTTTCCTGTAGTTGTAAATCCAAATCCGTAAAGCCCAGCAAATAATATTCAGGTTTTTTCTTAAATGCTCTTTTCAAGATTTTTTGCAATTCTTCATGTATCATGGACCAGTATTTCACTACTTCTTTGCACGACCACCACATATGATAAAATGTCCCTATCTGTTGGCAATTTTTCCAACATTTATCCGAAGAATTTTTGTTTATTAAAGATAATTTCTTAGGAGTGGTATACCATCTGTGGAACATTTTTATCCAGTTTTCCTTTAAATCTGTTGCATATACATATTTTAATTTCTTGTTCCACATCTGTTCCCACTCCCTAAATTGGATCGTTCTTCTTATATTTTCAGCCCACTTTATCATACATGGTTTAACTTGTTCAGCTTCCGTTAACCACGTCAAGAGTATGTTATATATAACTGTAATAACTTTTTTCTTTGCCTTCAAAACTTTATCCCAAGATGATCCTTCCCAAGAAAAACCTATTTTATTATCTTGCTTAATATAGTCTTTCATTTGTAGATAATGCAACCATGTCATATTCGCATTTTTCTCCTTCAGTTGCTCATAAGTCTTAATCTCTCCTGTGTTCTCTTTTAAAATATCCTTATATGTTGGCCACGCTCTCCAGCCTAATAATCTTCTTTGATGTGCCTCCATTGGAGAAATCCAAAGAGGTGTTTTCGTATAAAAATAGTTCTTATATTTCGTCCATACTCTTAACAAAGATGCTCTAACAAAGTGATTTCCAAAGTTTTTTTCTTTTTTCTCTCTATCATACCACGTGTAGGCATGCCAGCCCACACGTAAATCGTGGCCTTCTAGATTCAATCCTTTTTCATTTTCTAGCAACATCCATTCCCTAATCCACAAGAGAGCACTCGCATCGTGATATGCTTTAAGGTCTGGGAAACCAAGACCTCCTCTTGTTTTTTTGTCTATTAGATTTATATATTTAATTCTAGGTCTTTTTCCATCCCAAACAAATTTTAACAATTCTTTATTCCAATTTTTAAAGATTGTTTGGTTTCTGATTACGGGAATATTTTGAAAAAGAAACAATAATCTCGGTAATACATTCATTTTTATTAGAGCTATTCTTCCTAATAAGGATAGTTTCAAAGTCTTCCAATTCTTAAGATCTTTCTGTATCTTACTCCAGACCGATTCGTAATTATTCTTCAACAGTTGACCATTCTTAACAGATATCCATATTCCTAAATATTTTAATTTCTTAACAATTTCCATTCCTGTAGTAGATATAATCTTCTCTTGATTTTCCTTCTTTACATTTTTGGTTAAAATTTTTGTTTTTCCTTTATTCAATTTGAAGCCTGCCACTTTTCCATATTCTTGAATTTTCTCTATCCACTTCTGTAAATTATTTATAGGATCTTCCACAATCCCTAACAGGTCATCCGCAAAAGCTTTTATCTTATATTCGTATTTCCCAATTCTAACTCCCTTAATATTCGTATCTTCTCTTATTTTCCTCATCAATGGCTCCAAAGCCATAATAAAAATCAAGGGAGATAACGGACAACCTTGTCTTGTTCCCTTCGTAATTTTAAACTCTTCAGATTGTTGACCATTTATCCGAATTTTTGCTCTTTGTACATCATAAATAGCATTAATTGCATTCATAAATTGTGATCCCATATCCAATTCCTGGATCAACATCTTAAAAAAATCCCAATTTAAATTATCAAATGCTTTCTCCGCATCAATTGATAAAATGGCAGCTTCCTTCTGATGGTTCACTTCAAAATATTCTATCAGATCTAAAACAGTGCGTATGTTATCTTTCATGTATCTTCCTGGGAGAAACCCTGTCTGGTCTTCCCCTATCCAATCCATCAAGAATTCTTTTAATCTTGTCGCCAAAATATTCGTAAATATTTTGTAATCTACATTCAGTAGTGAAATAGGTCTATAATTTTTGATATCTTCCATTGGTGAACCTTCTTTATGTATCATTACTATTTCGGCCTGGTTCCAAGATTCCGGAATTTTTTGGTACAATAATGCCTCATTTAAGACCTTTTTCAACATTGGAAGAACAGTTCTCTTTGTTGATTTATAAAAGCCCGCCGTAAATCCGTCGGGGCCTGGGGCCTTATCTGCATCCATTTTATTCAAAACTTTTTCAATTTCTTCCTCCGAAATCTCTTTATTCAACTTTTCCCGTATCTCCTCTGAGATTTTTTGTAATTTCAATTGGCTTATATACTCAGGCGCCTCCAGAAGATCTTAACAACCTTGATGGTTCATAGGGGAGAATCCGTTCAGACAGGTAAACTGGGCTGGAGTCGTTTAGGGATTTATAGGTCAACACCAGCACTTTGAATTGTGCTCGGAAGCTAATTGGCAGCCAGTGGAGCTGGCACAACAGAGGAGTAGTATGCTCCCTGTACCCCGCTCCTGTTAGTAATCTGGCTGCCGATCGTTGGACTAATTGGACTTCCGGGCAGTCTTCAGAGGCAACCACATGTAGAGAGCGTTGTAGTAGTCTATACGGGATGTAACCAGAGCATGGACCACCGTGGCCAAGTCAGACTTCCCAAGGTACGGGTGCAGCTGGGGCACAAGTTTTAATTGTGCAAAAGCTCCCCTGACCACCGCCGAGACCTGGGGTTCCAGGTAGATATAAAAAGTGGACAAAGTCACTCTGATCCGTTCCGACTTGGACACCATGTTAGCGGCAGTCTCAGAGGCGACATGAGCACCTGCTTATCCGGTTTTGATGGATTCCTTTAAATTGGTGCATTTCAAGGGAGTGGACAAGACCCTTGGAGAGGCGAGGGCGGCCACATGCACCTAGACCCCTGCCCATCCTGGCTGGTCAAGGCGGCCAGAGGGGGTTTGYCCGAGGGGGTCAAGGTGGTGGTTAATGCCGCCTTTCAGGAGGGCAAGATGCCGGCCAGCCTGAAAGAAGCTGTCATAAAACCACTGTTGAAGAAACCATCACCCAATAGAACAACTTTCGGCCTGTTTCCAATCTCCCCTTTCTGGGCAAAGTCCTAGAACATGTGGTGGCCTCACAACTCCAGATGTTCTGAGAAGACACAGATTATCTGGATCTGGCACAGTCTGGTTTGAGGCCGGGACATGGAACCGAGACAGCCTTGGTCACCTTAGTGGATGATCTTCGCCGGGAAGTGGACAAGGGGAGTGTGTCCCTGTTGGTTCTGCTGGACCTCTCAGTGGCTTTTGATACCATCAACCACYGTATCCTTCTGGGARGCCTCYCCGGAATGGGCCTGGAGGGCACTGTTTTACAGTGGTTCTGATCCTTTCTGGATGGTTGCACCCAGAAGGTGTTGTTGGGAGACACCTGTTCAGCCCCACAACCTTTGTCTTGTGGGGTTCCTCAGGGCTCAATACTATCCCCCATGTTGTTTAACATCTACATGAAGCCATTGGGGGAGATCATGCGGAGTTTCGGGGTGCGGTGTCATCTGTAGGCAGATGACGTCCAACTCTYTCACTCCTTCCCACCTTCTACTAAGGAAGCTGTGTAGGTCCTGAACCAGTGCTTGGCCGCTGTGACGGTCTGGATGAGGGTGAACAAATTGAAATTGAATCCACACAAGACAGAGATCCTCCTGGTCAGTTGCAAGGCCGAACAGTGCATAGGGTTACAGCCTGTGCTGGACGGAATTACACTCCCCCTGAAGACGCAGATTTGCAACCTGGGTGTGATCCTGGATTAATCTCTGAGCCTAGAAACCCAGGTTTCAGAGGTGGCCAGGGGAGCTTTTGCACAACTAAAACTTGTGTGCCAATTGTGCCCGTACCTTGGGAAGTCTGCCTTGGCCATGGTAGTCCATGCTCTGGTTGCATCCCGTATAGACTACTGCAACACTCTCTATATAAGGTTGCCTTTGAAGACTGTTCGGAAGCTCCAAATGGTGCAACAGGCGYCAACCAGGTTGCTCACTGGAGTGGCGTACAAGGAACATATACAACTCCCCTGCTAGGTCAGCYCCACTGGCTGCCCGTCTGCTTCCAAGCACAATTCAAAGTGCTGGCTTTGGCCTATAAGGCCCTAAATGGTTTTGGCCCAGTTTACCTGTCCAAACGTATCTCTCTCTCTATGGTCCGCTTCAGAGGCTGAGATCGTCAGGGGAAGCCCTGCTCTCYGTCTCGCAAGCACGGCTGGTGGGGACAAGAGACAGGGCCCTCTTAGTGGTGGCCCCTCGCCTATGGAACTCCCTCCCCAGTGACATTAGCTCTGCCCCCTCCCTCCTGACCTTCAGGGGAAAAAAACCTGAAAACATGACTGTAAGATCAGACTTTTGCCCAGTCGTGCAATTTTACAAACTCATATAACGATGACTCGGACTGGCCCTGGAATACCATTTGGATCATGTGATTTTAATTTATCTTCTCGTGCTATGTTTTCAATGGGTTTAGATTTAACATTTTTGTTTATTTACCAATGTGTTAATAACATGGCATG